GAAAATAGGTATATATTACCCAATAGATAGCTGTATATCAGATTTTTAACCAACAATTTGAAATGTTGATTGTGGCTGGGATGTATAATCCCCTAAGTGAAGGCCTAATATTTTTTTAAAATGGGGTAAATATTTTTTTCATAACATCTCAGATGAAATTGTAAATAGATTGTGAGCTATTATTTGGTATAGATAGAACAGGTACACTGGTTCCTGTTTAGGCATCCTAGGGCCTAAAGTATTTGCATTGCTAATGTAAGTGGCTCTTATCTAGTAGATTTCTTATATACTGGTGTAGGCATCAGGAGCTAAAAGTCTAAGTGATTTTATCCTAATGGCGAACTGATTAATTGACATTGCATGAACTTGCTGTTGATGTTTGCTGATCACTGCAAAGGTATAAAGTAATCAGTAGGATCTCTTTAGTTCCACCCTCAAGCCTACCTCAATGCTATAATATCCCAATTGCTTTGATTAGCAATGGCTGAAAAGGTTGTTTCATTCAGGTAAAGAAAAAAGGTGAAGGTATCGCAAGTACATAGGTCCAGGATAAAGGATAGTGTTCCTTCGACCAATTTTCTGGTTGAGAAAACAGCATGAATTGCTCTGATTTCAAACAGTTGCCTGAGTTTGGAAATGGCATGTTTTTTTCCTCAGTATAAATTGAGAGCATTCAATTTTGAAAGTTTTCATCTTTGTCTTTATGTGTCACAGGCACATACCGTGCCATGAAAACCCTTAGCAGTGACTGTTCCTCACTCATATCCTAACTTCTCTGCCAAGAACATCACATTTCATTCTGTATATGGACCATAACGTTCAAAACATGCCTGTTTCAATCCAGACGCAGGCCACCCAAAACCAGCTGTTCCATCTATGGAACACTTTGCACATCCCTACTTGGAAGTTAAAAAAAAAACAAAATTGGAAGAAGGCAATGGTAAACCACTTCCATTCTGTAGCCAATGCATTCTGCATTATGTGAGAATCTCTCCGCGCACACACATTTCTCCTTCCCTAGTAGCTCATGTTGGAAATGTTTTTGATGTTGTGGTTTGACATAGTTGCTAGTGAAACTAACTTCATATCCCCAGTAGCTTTTGCAGCAGGAGTTCCTTGCTAATACAGAATTCAAAATAAAAAATTCTCCTTAAGATCTTTACCAAGAGAAGGAAATATTTTTAATGTTTGGGGGTTCCAACTGCTTGCATTTATTTTGATATGATGATACTGTTTAACCAGCCCAAATTATAATATCAGCCATTGTAACAGAAGAGAATACCAAACAGCAGAAGAAATGGTCAAACCTTTTCCAATATAATGTAACCCAGAACCATTGGGCTGTAATATCCAGAATTCTTAGCCAACATGATTCCCCATCATACAGGCTGGGAGTTTTCAGCTTTGCAGTCCCCAACCACCACCACCCCCAAAAAAAACCCCAAGGTTGTAAAGCAAAAACTCTAATTATTTCTGCACCTTGTGAGAAAGTAGTCATAATAGGGCCTCTTATTTCATTTTGGGGAAAAAAGAGATGGCTTAAGAGAGGTACTGTTTAGGCAGCTTGAATGCAGGCTTAGTAGCTGCTTTTCAGTTATGTTTCCCATGTCTTCCATGTGCCTGGCAGCAGTGAGCCTAAGACCTTTTCAAATAAAGGGAGAAATTATTGGGTGATGACACCTTGAGTGACTTCCTTCTGGGACAAAGATATTGCTGAAGAAAGGAACAAAACGTATTGTTTTGATTGAAAGAAATCTTGCCTTAATGCATTAGCTGGTTGCCAGAGTTTAGACGAGTGGCAAAGAAAGCAAACAAGCATTATTGTCTGCAGTTCACAGACCTGTCAGGTTTAGGCTGGTATTGTAATTATTGCTCTATTTTAAACAAGTAACATAGCATATGTTTGTGTGCTGCTGCTGAGCATGTTGGGAATTTAGGGGAGAACGTCTCAAGCTTTATACTTTATACTTCCATTTGATTCTCATTTCTCTTCTCCGCTGACAAAATAGAATATTCATAGCACCCAATAAATCTTCTAAAATGGAATCTTTATTTGCAATTCTGCCATTTCCCTTCAGATATTAAAGTTGCTAATGCGATTTCAGAGACATTAAAAGTTATGTTCCAAAGAATCTGTACCAGTAAGGCATTGCAGGAAGAGACAAATGGCAGGTGTGGATCCCTTCGGCTGAAAAGGAGGCACATCAGCTCATGGGCAGGTGCTCAGAGAAAAATGGATGCTGCTGTTAATTCCTTCCTAAAATAAAATCCAGTTGATGAAACACATATCACTTTTTTTTCCCCCTGCAAAAAAAATGGAATTTCAGAATATTTCTTAGGGGCCAACTCCAGCAAAGCCTGTGATAGAGGTATATAAAACCTCAAATCGCACAACCTGTTTGAAACAGCTGTTTCAGATGTTTGAAACAAGCTAATTCAAACTTTGTGCAAGGATTTTAGCTTGAAGTGTGTTTTGAAATGCAACTATTGTGTCCCTCACAAATAAGATATCTATGAATCAATGTGTTTGTTTAGCATGGTGTTGCTTCCATTAACTGGCTGTGTTTTCAGCACTATCTGGAGATGCTGAGGCTTGAACCTCCGATCTTTTGTGGATCCAGCAGAGGATTCACTACTGAATTAGCACCCTTGGTTAGGTAAATGTTCTATAATAAAATGGAACATATCCTAAATATCCTTGATCGCACCACATGACGTATTGCGACATATTGCAACGTTTTTTGCCTTTGCGGAGCCGAAGTGGGCATGCACTGTGCAAGATGCATCCAGCTCACGGGCCGCCAGTTTGACAGGCCTGCTCTATACCTATGAATTAAGAAGGAAAAGCTTATGGTTTCTCTCTTTCTTTTCATGCTGCAAGGCATGATATAGTGAGTGACAAGAATTTTTCCAAAGGCATTCAGCATGTATATAAATGAATTTGCAATACAATACATACAGGGTAGTTGTTGACTTACGACCGCAATTGGGACTGGAATTTCTGTCATAAATAGTTGTGGTCATAAGTCAAACCTGATTTTATGACGATTTTTATGGTGGTCATTAGGCAGATCATTGTGGTTATTAAGGGTCTCCAGCTTCCCCAATGGGTGCTTTTTCCAGACATCAGCCAAAAAAGTTAGCAAATCATGATCATGCTGCTACTGGTCATAAAAGCGAGTTGATTGTCAGGTGCCCAAATTGTAGTCACATGACTGGAAGGGTGATGTGACAGTCATAGATGCAAGTACATATTGTAAATCACATTTTCTGAAGCCATCGTAACTTTGAACTATTGTTAAACGGCCATAAGTTGAGGGCCACCTGTAATTAAACTCCACATAAAGAAGCTTTAAGTGGCTTGATCATGGCTGCATGAGAAGGAAAGTGTTTTCTCTTTTCCATAAAGATGAAAAGCTTGTATATTGTAGCATACAAGGACACCTTTAGTTATTGTGGAAAGGAAGCCATGTTGGATTAATATCATAAAAGAGGTGGCAGAAAGAAAAGCAATTCTTTGTCGCTTCAGAATGGTGCCCACCTTCTGCAGGGAATGGTGGAGGACAGAAAAGGATTTGGAAAGTGTGGCTTGTTTATGCTTCATATGATCAGAGGAAAATAGCCTGGAGCTATTTTTCTTTTCAAGATTGCGCCTTTCTTGCTTTTGTCCTTTGCTAGAAATGGACCATCATCTAATTACAGGATTCTTAGCCGATATATTTATTTTAATTGGCTACGTTTCGAATCTATGTACATGTGGCATCTGAATAAATACTAATGGGAGGAAAGCGTGCTGCTCCTTAATATGTATTTATCCTGCAACAGGCTTCCTCTTAGGAAAGGCATTTTCCTCTCTCACAGTAGCCTTTGTTGAAATGGCATCAGCAGCCTGCCTGCAGAGTCTTTTGGGGTGAGGAGGGAGGGAGGGAGGGAGGGTATCCGGAAATCAAGCAGAAGTGATTGCTCAAGGGGCTGGGCTGTGTGCAATAAAGAAGGGGCTCTATTAACCCTTTTGCAGTTAATGACCTTTAAAGCTATGAAGGTTTACATCTAAAATGCTTTAGTATATACCTTTAGTATATACTTTAGACTTTTAGGCTATTGAAACTGAGCATGGAAGTGCTGAGTGCAGAGAAACCTCTGAATGTGAGAAAGGAAATTTACTGCATTATGGATTTTTCGGGCCATTGGCTGCAGAATTAAGTGGATGACTTTATGTCAAAGTTTGAAGACTTCACATGAGGAGATGCTGTTTGGTTAAAGGGGGATATGGGGCTCTTGGAGAGGGAGTCTTCTGTTGCATCTTCTCACAGGCGAGGAGTTGTGGGTTCAAGTGGGCAGCGTGAAGCCTCTCGGCATCACCTGCAGGCCTTTGAGGAGGACCTCTGTCCTCTGTGATTTTCAGAAAGAGCAGGGGAAGCTGATTCTCAGTAGCCTAGAAAGGAAAGCTCAACGGAGAAAGTATAACAAAAAATCCTTCTGAAAGCCCTTTAAACTTATACGAGCCACCAAAGTCGATTCATCGCAATAGGCTGTAGAGAATTAGCAGTATCCAGGTGCAGAGGGAGTAGGAGGGAGACTAAGAATCTCTCTGCTCTTCTGCCACCCACACAACATCTGAAGCCCACGTACTGAGTCAGGAGCTTTTGTGTGAGGGAAGTCAGATGACTAAGGATGGATGTTACGGGGGGGGGGGGGGGGGGGAGGAGGAGAGAGATTCTCTCAGCAGGCTTATGCTCTGTGGCCCAGTGCCCCCTGCTGTCCAGGCTTCAACTGAACACCAGATCAGGTATTTCAGAAATTCTTACGGCTAATAATGAAGAGGCAACTGCCTACTTCTTTCTCTCTTCTTCCTTTCTCTGAAGCAACTGGAATAGATGTTAGATTTGCAAAGGAATCTGCTGTATTCCGAATACCTGCAGGCTTGTGGGCTCATATTGTGATTAACGTGCTCGTTTCTACTCACCTCTGCTATTTTAACGTTCTCTCTTTTCTTCCAGTTTATTGAAGCAATGACCAATAAACAAACTGAGCTGGAGAACTATGTATCTGATGGTTACAAGATGGCACTCACAGAAGAGAGGCGGCGATTTTGTTTCCTGGTGGAGAAGCAGTGTGCAGTGGCCAAAAATGCTCTTACGTACCACTCCAAGGTAAGCAGGGGCACTTAGTAACTGAACTTAAACCATTCCAGGGGTATAGTTTTTTTTAAAAAAACCACACACAATCATTTTATTAAAGATTACAATTACAATTTACAATATAAATTAATACAAACTAAAAAGAAAAAGAGAAGATACGTAAAATAAAAAAATAAGAATATAATAAAGAAAAAGAAAAGAAATAAACAAAGAAGTGACTTTCCTCTTCATCACAAGTATAACAATTTTAGTAAATTATCACCTCTTAAAATGCAACAAATGATCTTTTCTTCCCACATCCCATACAAACCCAAACAAATCCATAAAGCTTCGCTGTTTCAGTTCTAATGTAAGCATAAGTCCATTAAAGGTAATCAGAGATAACAAGGTATCTATTTTAAACTTGATCAAAAAAACCCAGCTCTATATTCCTTCCTTTTACTGCTAACAACCTTGATCTTTAGTCCCTTAAAATAATATCCTGGAGCTTGATTTGTTTTGATTTTTTTCTCTGTCCCTTCTCACAAAATTCTTCAAAGCTTTAACAGGCCTGCTTTATAAGTTCAAGATTCAAAAGCATCCATGTCACTCCTTGGTTTGTTATTTGTAATATCCATTTTAATTATTAAGACATCAGCTGGTTTCCAACATAATTCTTGTAGCCTATCGTTTTTAAATCCACTTTCAAATCAGCCTCATGTAAGGTAATACTTGTTTCCCTGCCATAATATTTTTTAAACACAATCTATTTAGATTGCAGATACTTAACTTTTGGGTCCATTGTTCAAAAATATCCTTTAGTATGTCCAGTGTTAAAATATTTTGCTTTGTTCTGTATTAGTAAGTCAAGTGTTTATCTTCTTTAATTATAAACTGTAGTTCCTTCTAATTCCCTATAATGTCCAGTTTTTAAAGTCATGTAGTGTGTTTTTTATAGAATTCAAAATAAAAGCATTTTTCTATGGGAAAGATTCTTTATAATTAATTATGAAACCTTATTTCAAATTGTCCATGGCTGTTTTATCTCAAGCTCACAGTTACTATAGTGGACTGCCACTAGTGTAGGAAGAGTGCTCACTAGTAGTACTTTCTATAGTGCTTTCTATGTGGGTAAAAAAAAGAAAACTAGTCCATTAAGATCAAAGGTTTGGGAGGTGGCCCTGTATAATTTGTAATAGATATTCAGCTCAAATGTAACTGTTGCTGCCTAGTGGCAAAATCCTTGGGTAAGAATATCTTAGCTGCATGCCAACCCATGCAAATTCAGTCTAAATAAAACGTGTTTTATTTTCATGACAAGAAAAGTTGGAAAAATAGGGAGAGTACCACATGGAAATGGAAATGTTATTCTGTTTTTCTTAATGGTGAAATAATTTGTTCTGTTAGTATCAGCAGGCTTATTAGCATTGGTTTGAAAAAAAATGGTTTATTACTGTGTGTATGTGATTATTGTCTCTGCATTTCCTCCTTGTATCATTCACAGTATCCGTCTGGTTAGATTGAAGTTAGTCAGGTAATAAAGAAATTTCCTGAAAAATCTCAGTGAGTCACAAACACTCTTCAAGTAGAGTTGTATGTCAGGCCATTTACTAATATATGTGAAGAAACAGAAAACCAACATTCTTTTCTCCAGAGCCTCAGTGGCACAGTGGTTAAAGTGCAGTACTGCAGGCTACTTCTGCTGACTGCTAGCTGCCTGCAATTTGGCAGTTCAAATTCCACCAGGTTTAAGGCTGACTCACCTTTCCATCCTTCCGAGGTAGGTAAAATGAGGACCCAAAATTGTTGGAAGCAATATGCTGACTCTGTAAACTGCTTAGGGAGGGCTGTAAAGCACTATGAAGGGGTATATAAGTCTAAGTGCTACTGCTATCTCTATTCTTTCATATGGTGGATTTTTTTTTCCTTGCTGTTATTTTGTTACACTACTCCAATGAAGACAAATTCTTTCAGGTTTTTTTAATTTACATTTTTATTAAGTAGATTATCATGGTGGTATTTACAGTTAGACACTGAGATCATGGGGAGTTAGTTGCATATATGGCTTGTTTTATAACTTGTTCAAGAAATGTTACTACACACTCTTACATTCCAGATCAAAACCATTTGCATGGTTTGGATGTGTTAGTTTATAACATTCACATACTCATATACAAAACACCCACACAGATACTTCAGAATGTCATCAAAATCTTCTGGGAAGTATGGGCTTCTACTTAAATTTAGCTATGCTGTTATCTTTAATATCAACTGAATATCAGCCTCTGGAGAAGACTCTATGTTGGGAAAAGTGGAAGGAAAGAAAAGAAGAGGATGACCAATAGCAAGTTGGATGGACTTGGAGCAGAATTGGAAAACATGAAGGATCAAGCTAGGGACAGATTATAATGGAGAAAATCTTATCTAGATGGTTGCTAAGAATCAACACCACCTTGATGGCACATAAAGAAACAATGTTCTTAGTTCCTTTGTCTTAGTGAAGGGACCAAGGTGCATCTTGCCATTCACGCAAGATTCATGACAAGCCACCACCATTATTCTTTCTATATAACAATTTTTCTGTGAAGGAGCCTTCCCTTAAAAGCCATACATTATGCAAGCAAGAAGCACTCTATATTCTGCCTGAAGACACCAGTACATATGTTTACCTTTCCTTCACCCTCTTTTCAACCTCCCATAGTAATAGCTAGGCATCCAACAGGGCAGGTGTGCCTGTTTCCTGGCAGTTGATGTATGGGTGGCACAATGGTCCCTGTGTGCTCTTCAGTCTGGAGCTTATAAATACAAAGCATGCTGCTTCCAATAGAACAGGAGATGTTAAGAAGTTGCACAACTGCTTTTTGTGCCATTGTTTTTCTTGTCTGTACTCAAATATAGGTAGTCCTTGCTTAACAAATTGGGACTGGCAACTCTGTCATTAAGCAATGTGGTTGTGAAGCACAGTGTCACATGACTGTGCCAATGTAAGCCACAGCCCCAGTTGCTGTTATTAGGCGAATCCTGTGTGCTCCCAGCATCCTGCATTCACGTCATCACCATTTGCAACTTCCTGCCAGCTTCCCCATTGACTTTTCTTGTTGGAAATGAAGGTCACAAATAATCACGTGACTGCAGGACACTCTGACATCATAATTGTGAGCCAGTTGCCTAAATGTCCAAACTGTGATGATGTGACTATGGGAATGCCACACTCATAGGACCCATCATAGATCCCCCTTGTTTTGCACCATCATAATTTTGAACAGTTGCTGGACAAGTAGCCTTTCAGCAAGAACTACCTGTATGTTCCTACTTCAAATGTGATGCTAAATGTTCTTTCTTTTGCTCCCAATTTGCATTTTACCTAAAAAAACATCTGGGATTTTTGCCTACCATGTATTATTTTTTGAATCCCCTGGACTGTTTTTATTGCTTTCCTACTTGTGCGCTTTGAAACTGGTCCCAGAGATTCTAGACTTGAGTTTTTTAGGGGGGAGGGGGTGGGGAAACCGAAACTAATGCAGGGGATTAAGAAGCAATTGAAGCAGCAGGACTTTCCAGAATAGTAACTCTTCTTTCAGTGGAAGCTAAGAAGCTCCTGCTGCTCATGCCGATAGGGAGAATTATTTCTATGCACACAATTAATATGCTTTCATGGGGGAGAGGAAAGGGAGAGATCCTCGCCAAAATGATCCACGGAGCTATTATTGACACTCTCGCAGGAAGCTGCTTCTTCCACCTACGTGACATTAGCGGTTACTTACTTTCTCTGCAAAGCACAACTTTTTTTCCATGTTCCTGTTCAAAGACCCAAATAACAGGACAGCTATTATGAAACGGTCTCCCGTCCTACCACTGACCTATGCTCACCTGGGGGCTGCCAAGGGCTATTCTCAGACCTCCTTTCAGATAGCATGGTTGCTGTGGAGCAGCTGATCTGTGCAGTTTAGGCACCTCTGGGGCATCCTAGGGGATGCGCAGAAGTAAGCAATCAGTTTCGTTTTGTTTTTTTCCTAAAGAAGTAGCCCACATGTACTAGTTTCTGCTTACCTTTTGCCCCTAACGTTTGTGCTGAACCTTCAGCTGCTAAGAGAGCAGAAAGGAGAGAGTGAGCCCACTCTGCTTGGGCAGCGTTGTTGAGAAAGAGTGAGTTTTTGGAGGTAAATGTTTCTATGAGAATCTGTTGTGTCCCGTCCCACCGTCCCCCCCAGGCTACATGTCTTTTTTCAACATTCCTTTTTCCCCATAACACCCATGTTTTTTTATATGCTTCTCTTTAAAACATTTTTCTCAGAACAATTCACAAAGATTTTGCTAATCAGGAAATTAAAATTGTGAACAGCCACTGGAATAAAATACCTCTTTTCAGAGATGGGAAGAAGGAGTGGGATTTCTTAGCCGGAGAAATGCACAGAGCTATATTGTGCAACTCCTGGCTTTCCAATTTCTTTTCCTTTTTCAAGTTTTTCAGTTACAACATTTTGGTACTGCCTGCATTGCTTCAAGAAGGGAAGAGTACATTCCCTATAAAAGACAGGTTCTCGTCTGTGATTATTTTAGGCTATATACTACTCTTGAGTGTTTTTCCCCCCCAAAGTGAACGTGTAATACCTGTGTTAAATTTTAAAAAATAGAGTTGGCTACTTTTGCATTTGGGAAGGATTTCAGTTTTGCTTGGCCAGATCTTGTCAGGATTGGAGTGTTTTCTTTGTATCACATGGTTCATTGTGTCCGTGCCTTTGCAGCTGTGCAAAATTAAAAAAAATAAAAATATCTGCATATTCTAAAATGCTCTATATTTGAATAGAGGCTTCCAAAATTCCAACTTCCTTAATCAGGTCAGAGCTCCTGGAGGGGGTGGTTGGTGGTGGAAGCAAGCTGAATTGTTCTTGGGAGTGAAGTTGTAAGGGAGGCCACTGCAACCCAGCGACACAAATAGAAGCTCTTGCTTTATATTTATCACTACTACTCTAAAGAAAATAAATAGCCTTTAAAAAGAGCTAAATGTTTATCTGGTCCATAAGTAAGCAATGACTGAGGTGACTTTTACTGTGTTTCTTAGTTTAATATAATACCCAGAGGTGGTATTCAGCAGGTTCTGACTGGTTCTGGAGAACCGGTAGTGGAAATTTTGAAAATCTCCTAGTGGAAAATCTCCTGACTGGAGATTTTACAGTATCCTTCCCCTGCCATGCCCACCAAGCCACGCCCACAGAATCGGTAGTAAAAAATTTTGAATCCCACCACTGATAATACTGTGGTGAATTTGAATGAAAGAAAGGGGTCTTGCAGTTGCCTGAGACTGACAAGTATGAAATGTTTTCTTTTTTAATTAAATTGCCACAACTTGGTCTAGCCCATTTCTTTGGTTCTATATTTTTGGTGTCCTAACTAGTATCAGGCCTAATATATATGAATCTCTCAGACCAGATCAGAGGTCCGGCCCTATCCTGTCCTCTTCTCTCTTCTCTTCTCTTCTCTTCTCTTCTCTTCTCTTCTCTTCTCTTCTCTTCTCTTCTCTTCTCTTCTCTTCTCTTCTCTCCTCTCCTCTCCTCTCCTCTCCTCTCCTCTCCTCTCCAGCGTTTAGATTCATGAGGCAATCATAAAGACACCTCTAACCTTGAACAGTGAAAATTGGCTGATTAGCATGGAAAATATTATTTTCTCTCTTTATGATTTTACCCCTTTTACAGTGGACCTAAAAGGGGAAAATGGAATCTTACACAATCTCATTCTATCAGTATTTCTCAGATATGCTTTATCTGAGAAGTTGTTAAGAGAACAATTTCAAACAATTTCAATTTGGTGTTTGGTACACAAACACCAAATTAGCCTTTTTTCCTCCTCTAACTGAATAACTGACAAATAAACCTAGTCAACCTATGTAAATTACAAAGTTGCAATAGTTTAATTTCTCCTAGAATCAAAAAATTATTGGCCAGTTTAGTGTACCAGTTCCATTCTCAGGAAAGTTATGTCTGGGAATTTCCTGGTTTCCTTCAATTTTTGGATTAGAATCTTATCTGGATTTTTCTTACACTCTTCCCTCTCTCTCTTTTTCATTTTAACGACTTTCAGGGAAAAGATATCTTGACACAGAAGCTCCCATTATGGCAACAATCTTGTTCGGATCCCAACAAGATCCCAGACCGTGCTCTCCAGGTTATGCAGCAGATGGCCCTCAGCAGCAATGGCTCAATTATGACTACACCTCTGTCAACATCCAAGTCAAATCTCATCATCTCGGACCCTATACCTGGTGCCAAACCTCTTCCAGTCCCTCCAGAGCTGGCACCCTTTGTAGGAGTAAGTATAGGGTGGATTGATAAACTGGGGAGAGATGTCATAATTCATCTTTCAACAGAAAGATGTAAGCTTGGTACTGGAGCGTGCAAGTTTTTCTAAGTCAAAGCTACAGTGGTCCTTTCACTGGCATGTTGGAAGTCACTTCTAAAATGTAAAGGGATTAGAATCAAAGTGGATTTAGGTTTTGATTTAGTTTAAACCAGTTAAAATGACTATTGTACTATACATTTTAGAATCTCCATACTTTGGGTAAGTTATCTTATTTTGCTCAGATACAAAGCATGGATTGTTTCTGAATTAAGGTTGTGTCTTTGAAAGACAACCGTTGCAAGACAAACAGGTTCCACTGCACTTATTCTGAAGAATATTAGCACGCCAGACAGTTCATTTCTTGGCAAAATATCATGTGCTGGTCATTACCACCAAAGCCTAACAAAGCTATTCCAGAAAAGACCCTTTTTTTCTGTTTGAACCTCCCTGCTTACTAACATCATCTTGGCATTTTGGGTACAAGCCTTCTCTGTTGCTTCCCTAGTCATTGGAGTGTACTCCCTACAGAGTTAAGGAGGCTAACAGCATCATTAGATTTTAAAATGGCCCCTTTTGAAATAGCAGCCTGGCAACTCATAATTTCATAGCTCCTGCAACGTGTTGTACTTGATGCTGCCTTTCAAGACTACTGGGAAACTGCAGACAGCAGCTGCCCACTTGCTGGCGGATGAGAGCCACTATAGCAGTGTCGTACCAGTTCTGCAGGATTTGTGTTGGTGGCCATCAGGTTTCCAAGTATACTTCAGAGTGCTGGTATTAACCCAACTGATGATGGTATTTATATACATGGATTAGCTCCCAGTTACCTTCAGGACATAACTTTTGGAAAGAAAGAATTGGCCTACCCTGGGTATTCAAGGTGAGAGGAATGCTTTAATTATTTTCCCTTCAAGAGACAAGACAGGTGGAGACTCAAATAAGATGCTCTTATTGCTCTCCATTCACTATGGAACAGCTTTATCCCCTTGAGACCAAGATTGGCGCCACCTGGTCTAGTTTAGGAAGGTGGGCATTGGATCCTAGCAACTTACAATTAGGATTGGAGGTTATTTTTAACAGGCGTTTTAACTGTTTTAATGCCTTGGTTTAAATTTTTAGGTGTAAACTGAATGCAGTATACTAAGCTACAATAAACAATTAGAATACTATTTAAAATGTATTGTCACAAGAAGCCTCCCAGACATCCTTTTTTGTTCATTCTTGAAAAACAAGGCACCTGAACTGAAATCTGTTGATATGTTGCTGATAAACTTCCACAAGTCAGTAACTGACCGTGTTCCAAATTTACATGTCTTCAAAAAGCTATTCAGTGGCGATAGGAAAATTGAGGGATTAGGAGAACTTATGCTTCCTCTTGCTGAAGTATTTGGGTTTCTCCTTAAACAATTCAGGGCTCTTTGGTTTTTCTTTTTGTTACCTTGCACTAATGATTTTCCCATTAATGATTAATGGGTTTTTCCAAAACCCATTTATTCAGTCCAGTTCTACAGCTGTAATATGATTACATCTGGGATAGGCTGGCCATGAACTATGTGAAGAAATGTTAAACAGATTTGCAAACCTGAGCACTAAGAAGTTGAACTCACAGTACTCTGACAGGTATTATACAATGTGGCATATCTTGGTAAGACTGGTTTTATTTTGGCATGTCCTTCTGGGCAAAGTTGAATATCTTCAAGCTAGCTCAAGAGCCATGGTTCGAGGTCATGTTACAGGTAGTCCTCAACTTATGATCACAGTTGAGCCCAAAGTATCTGTGGCTAAACAAGACAGTTATTAAGTGAGTTTTGCACCACTTTACGATCTTTCTTTCCACAGTTGTTAAGCAAATCACTGTAATTGTTAAGTTAGTAGCACTGTTATTAAGTGAATCCAGCGTCCCCATTGACTTTACTTGTCAGATGGTCGCAAAAGGTGATCACATGATCCTGGGACATTACACTACAACCATTATAAATATGTGCCAGTTGCCAAGCGTCCAAATATTGAACATGTGACCACTGGGATATTACAGTCGTAAGTGTGACTATCAGTCACTTTTTTCAGTGCCATTGTAACTTCAAATGGACACTAAATGAATGGTTGTAAGTCGAAGACTACCTGTAGAGGTTTAAGCCATTTGATGGGACCACTTATTTCCTTAGTCTGCCAGTCAAAAGACACTGTGCTCCATCTTAATCAGTAATTGTTCTTTCCAGCTCTCTGCCAGGAAAAATAAAGAATTAAGGAGGAAGTGGTGGGAAAAACGAGAGGGCAGCATGATGTAGACTGCCGGTAATATTTTCTAAACAAGGCAGAACGGTTGTGCGAAACAAACGCTTGTATCAAGAGCATCCTATCTCTGTTTCTCTCTCCCTCTCCCCACTCTTTCTCCAGCGAATGTCTGCACAAGAGACCATACCAGTAATGAATGGAGTCTCAGGCTCGGAAGGTGAAGATTACAGCCATTGGTCTGACCGAAAGCCTCCTCAGCCTAAGTCCTTATCCCCACCACAAACTCAGAAGCAATTGAGTGACTCTTACTCCAATACTCTCCCTGTGCGCAAAAGTGTAATGCCGAAAAACAGCTATGCATCCAGTAAGTCATTCTTGTAAGAAATTATTCCTCTCTGCCCCTCCTTCCATTTTGGAGGACCACATATGTCAGATTATGGGTGAGATGGCCACTGAACTCCCCAAAAGCAACACAGTAGGAGAAAAGGCCTAAAACAATTTTCTCCAGACTTTCCACCTATGCAAAGACTAAGGGTCCCTAAATCCCCAGCCATCACAACAATCCCGAGATCTGGATTATCCCAGTTTGGGGAAAGCTGGCATAGGAGCACAAAAATAGCACCAATTTCTAAAGCATTTCTCACACTGAGTCTTTTAAAGGGTCCACCAAGACCCCCTGTCTTTCTGCTGGTAGAAACAAAAACAGGTATTGAGAAAGCACTGAAAATTTGGGGAGCTAAGACAGCTCAAAAATTGCATCAGGTTTGCTGACATGTAAGCAGGGCTTTGTCAGAAATTAGTTGGATGTGCTTGTTTCTTATTTGCAAGCCCTTACACAATAGTAGATGAGTCAGATGTTTGCACATACCTGAAGAAGAAGCTTTTTTTCCCTACAAAAGCTATGAACAACAAAGCTGTTTCTCCAAAGTGGTGCAGCAGGCTTGGTTCTTTTGCATCATACTAGAAGCAGTGGTGAACAAAGCCTCCTTTAGACTGGCATCACTCTGCGATGTGACTAAGGTAAAAAGTGCCCTTGAGTCAGGCTCAGCTTCATGGACCCAGTTTGCAGCATTCCTGACAGCACCAGAGAAGTAGTTTTCCACTGCTACCTACTGGGATGTGTTTCAGCTTCCAGGCTAGTCAGTAGCACAAGCATTCCACGAAAGAGAGCTTCCGAGGACTTCCCAGGCCTTTCCTGTTTAGCTTGGAACTCAGAGAAAGTCAGCCAGATGCTACCACCTCCTGAGATTATATGGGCCCTGATGCTATTGCTGTATTGCTTGATTCCAGCAAGAAACAAAGTACTTATTGCATGGAACATGACGAGGTTACTGTACTGTGTTATTATTTATTTATTGAATTTATATAGCTACCCATATCACGCCTCTGACTCTGGTTGGCAAACACAGCCAAACGATCAGCATAATTCAAACATAACCATTAAAAGAATCATAATTAACAAAAAGACAATTTTCATTGCTTCCTTTTATGCCATAATTATTATTGATAATAACTCTACATAATGCACACGTATCTAGCACTAAGTAATGTTTGATTTTAGGAGTGGGTTGCTCAGTACATCATATCTGTGTGGGTGTTTTACCAGGAATTTCAGTCTTTTCTTTTGCTTTACAAATTCATTGACATTTATGATCAAGAGATAAATGTTTTAGATGATGATGATGTTAACTATCCTTTAGCCACAGTTATGAAGTGAATCACTGCAGTTATTTGGTGAATCAGGCGGTCATTAAATGAATCCGGCTTTCCCTCACTGATTTTGCGTTTTGGAAGCTGTCTGGGAAATGGCAGTCCCATGACTCTTGAGACAGTGCAACTGTCCTAAATATATGCTGATTGTCGGCACCTGAATTTTAAACACATGAATGTGAGAGTCATAACTGTGAGGACCCGTTGTAAATCACAGTGCTGTTACGATTTCAGACGGTTACTAAATGAATGGTTGCAAGTCAGAGACTACCTGTAAATCAGCAATCCGTAGTCTTTTATTTAAAAAAAAAAACATTTGGCAAACTTTCTCCGGTAACTGAAGTATTAGCACAGTCGTAAAATAACAGAAAAAAAGGTTTATTTATCGAAAAGAGTGGACTCCATCCAGTGGTGTATTAACCATTAAGCAAACTAAGCACATGCTTAGGGCTCCAGGCCCAAAGGGGGCATCACAAAGTTGAGAATATGGCTTCGTTTGTATAGTATGTACAAAGGGGGGGGAGGGGGCAACAAGTGTTGTCAGTTCTTAGGGCACCTTAATGAGCCTTAATCTGCCACTGACTTGTCTTTCAGCTGAAAACAAGACTCTTCCCCGTTCCAGCTCCATGGCAGCAGGACTAGAAAAAAATGGCCGAACAAGGGTGCGAGCCATCTTCTCTCACGCTGCTGGGGACAATAGCACCCTTCTGAGCTTCAAGGAGGGAGACCTTATTATGTTGCTAGTGCCTGAGGCCCGAGATGGCTGGCATTATGGAGAGAGTGAAAAGACCAAATTGTGAGTATGCTTGTCAGTGTGTGGGCCTCAGAATTTGTTTTTCTTTCCTTCTCGTGATATTAAGGTGTCTTCTTCGGGATTCAGTTGCTTTCTTATGTTATGAACTGTAATTTAAGTTTTAAACCTCTCAGAGCCCCGGAAGGGTGGTGCTAATTGCCTGCCTGAGCCTGAGTATGCTGAGGTGGTGCTGTAGGTAGAGCAAAGCATGGGCCGTCTCATGTGTGATCCTTTTTGTCATTTTGGTCTCTTCCCCAGTGTGGCATTGCTGCAGAAATTGCAATGAGAGTTCTAGTATTTTGCATCTGTATTAAAAAGTCAATGCAAGGTCAAAGAAAGCGAGGAGAGAAACACCACCAGTTTTATATTAGGGAACTCTGATGAACTCTGAGCCTAAGACAAATTATTATTCTTTATGCTTAAAACATAGCGCGACTTTCCAATGAACTTTTTTCCTTACCCGGATTTGGAAATCTTTGCTCTGGTAGCCAAAACCGAAGTTGATGTGCCAAGAAGTGGAATGTATAATAAACAGTTCTGCCCTCAACAACACAGCTCCCACGCTGGGGAATGCCAGAAAAAAAATGAAGAAGGAGGGCAGAAATTGTAGGCTTTTAATTCCTGGAGAGTCTGTAGCGTAACTAGGAATAAAAGCTGTCGCTGGGGTGGACCGCTCCAGCAGGTTTGCTTTGGCATAATGGGTTTGTTTAAGATTAGGACAAAAAAAAAGTCTTCCTTGGCAACAATTGTGTAGGTAAGCTCCTTCATAGATACTGAATATTTATTTATTTATTTATTTCTTCTCTCCTTCGCCACATTTCAGTATTTAAAGCTCTAAACCTGGAGGTGCGGTCTTTTTTCCATTGTTCACTAAATATAGCCATACTTTTATTCCTTCGTCCATGCAATTTGTGACTGGCTTAACAACAAAGGCCAGTTGCCAAGCAAATGGCTGGCTTAATTAGCAGAACCAAATTAGGAAGCCTTAGAACTGGAGGGTAGTCGTGAGGGTGGAAGTCTGCTGATCTGGTCATTCCTTTTTTTAGCCCAAGTGCCCAACATCCATGGGGTGAGCCGGAAAGCCGGCAGGGTGTGAAAGTAGGTGGCTGGTAAGATTGTGCACAATCAATTTGGACAGCAGGAAAACCTGGTTTCACAAAGTAAAAGCACAGATGGCAGTTAGACGCCTGTGGCCATTTGGGGGAAACTGACACATGTATTACAGCTTTCCTTGAAAAGATCCAGGATGAAATCATTCTAGATACAGGTAGTCCTCAACATACGACCTCCATTGAGCCCAACACTTCTGTGGCTAAGCAAGACAGTTGTTAAGGGAGTTTTGCCCATTTGTATGACCTTTCTTGCCACAGTTGTTAAGTGAATCACGATTAAGTTACTCACACGCTCGTAAAGTGAATCTGGCTTCCTCATTGACTTTGCTTGTCAGAAGGTCGCAAAAGGGGATCCCATGACCCCAGGACACTGCAACCGTCATAAACATGAGTCAGTTGCCAAAGCATCTGAATTTTGATCACGTGACCGTGGGGAATGCTGCAATGGTCGTAAATGTGAAAAACTGTCACAAGTCACTTTTTTCAGTGCCGTTGTAAATTTGAACAGTCGCTAAGCGAATTGTTGCAAGTCAAGGACTACCTGTACTCAAATGCTACCTTCTGTTATAATGTCCCCTTCTTACTGTAACACACATCCTGAATATGCCTCCAGCCCTTTTCAGCATTGTCACGCTGTTGCACATTCCCAAAGCCACTCTGCTGAAGTTCACTGGCAAATCACCATCCTTCAGTAATGTGACATTTTAAAACAGTTTTTAAAACAATTTATAGGTGAAGAATACATTCAGTTCCCTATAAATCTCTCTGAAGACGCTTCTACAGCGCTAATGCTTTCACTCCCCAAATACTCAGTTGTGATCATACTTCTTGGCTGCCATGAAGCTTGCTGGCACTTCTGCCCAGCTGGCCAGTGGGAGGGGAGTTCAAAAATGGGTGTTCATCTGGTGTCTTAATTCCCACACACACACACCCCGGCCTCCCGCCTTGCCTTTGGTTCCCTGCATTTGTTGTCTGGCAAGGTTACTGCACTGAAGCAGCAAAGCTGTCATGTTGCCAGAGTGGGGAAAGATAGCAAGGTGCAATGGCTCCCTGCCTTTGGGAAAATTGGGAGGAATCCAAGAAACTGGAAGGCAAGATGAGGCAAGAATTCCCACATGGAAAATTAGGGTGAATATACGTGTCCCAGGGTAATGCTGCAGGATCCGATCTGGGTCAGTCACCGGGACTTCGAGGTTTTGTCTTCCAAGCTTTCAGATCCATGCTGGAGCCCTTCTTCAGGGAATTTCTCTCTAGCCTAGGCAGAGAAATGCCTTGAAATGGGCTCCACTGCAAGTCCAAAAACTTGGAAGATAAAACCTCTGGTCCTGGTGGCCGACCCAAATTGGATCCTGCAAGAATTCCCACCATTGGGAAGTGACTATCTTCTGAAAGAGCAGCTGCTCTGGGAGTAAATTGCTCACCTGCCAAAGACCTTCAGTGACCAAGAAAGTCAAGGGCACAGAGAGACACAGCACTGGTGCAATTCATGCATATGGAAGGGGTCATATTTCTAAAAAGCTGTCCACAGTTCCCTACTTTTTGAAAGAAGTGGCCAAACAATTCATCCCCAGGCCTCCCTCACATCATTACCATTCTTCCTGAAGCTGCTGGAGATAAAAAATAATTATAGGAAGAAACGATGACCCTCAATCATACTACTGCCTCGTAAACTGTGTCATGTCATAGAATGGAGAGAAAATAACCTAGTAAGCATTTTGAGGTGACAATTTCTTTATTGGTTTTTTTTTAACCTTTCAACTGGAAGATTTATTCAAGACTAGGATTAAAAATTAAGAGGCATTCTAGATTCTTCCCATGGAAAATGGAATGCATGGGTTAGGGTTAGGGTTAGGGTTAGTTTATTCCTTCTTCAGTATCCCCTTCACTGAATGGGAAAAAAACATGGACCTTTTTCTCTTTTTTTCTACTTGTGTTGTAGGAGAGGCTGGTTTCCTTTTTCCTACACACGTGTGTTGGACAGTGATGGGAGCGATAGATTACATATGAGGTAAGAAAGTTCTTTTCATGGATGCAGTGCAATCATCTGACATTTGAATAATGTTTATACTCAAACAGACAAGGCCTGTGTTTATTTAGCCAGAAGCAGGATCGGTCCTGCATTGCCCTCTTCTGGCTTATCTTTCATTAGGAATTTTATTAGACTGGCTTCATATTTTTCAAGCTAAGATTTCAGGCTTTGCTGTAAAAATACATGGTGTCTCTTTTCGTGGGTGTATACATTTGCCCATGTATTTGTACACAAAGAGATACATATATGTGTGTGCGCATGCATGTATGATCTGGAGCAAGCCAGTGTGAATATATTTGGTGGAAAAAGTCCGATGAGACACTGTTTCATATGGTAAACATAATGAACACATATGGCCCCGAATGGAAAGGCTTCCAAGCCTTGGTGGTGACAGGAGGAGGAGGATGTTCCCTTAGTGATTCTGAGCAGGTTCCCATAGGAAAAGACGCGTGGGAGGAAAAAAAAATCTGAAGAATCCTAATTTTGTCTGCATGCAAGGAATGAGGCAAGCCTTAATGGCTTATAAAGTGAACCCTGTTTGCAAAATTCTGCCACAGAGGAGATGCTGACTTAAATGTGCTTATGTCTTCAGCCAGGGGAAAAGCAGTAGTACAGGTAACCTGTTGGACAAAGATGATATCCCACCTCCCGACTACAGCATGTCCTCCCGAACTTTCCAGGCACCGAATGTCAGCACTTTCAAACAGAGGCCGTACAGCGTGGCGGTGCCAGCATTCCCCCAGGTGAGACACCTTTTCAACTCAGAGGAGAGGAGCCATAACCATTGTGAGTGAATACATCAATCAGGAGGGACCCTGCCAGGGGTAGATTCTAAGGCTCCGTCAGCGGAGAGGGAAGGTGGATTTTCAGAGAACCAGCATTCTGCAGGTGTCAGTGGTACCTGTCTTGTACTTCTGGTTGGGTATGGTTTAATCTTTATTTTTACTAAAAGTTTGAAGTGGTCGTTGACCATCAAAAATGGCTTAAATCAAATGGATGTATGGGTTGGTGAGAATGAAATGGGCTTCAGATCATTTAAATATAGTTGCTCTGATAATGAAGAGTAAAGGAGGAAATTGTGGCTCTGCAACTTTTTCTACAGCTAGTACAACGAAATGAGAGGGTTCTAGCTGAGTCACGCTTTATTTTAACTGTGATTTGGATAACAAGCCATAGAAGTCTGGTTCACAGACTACTAAGCCATAAACGTGGCTCAGCACAATGTGTGAGAGAAGCTAGTCCATGTGAATTGTGGTTTGAATGGAACAAACTTAAGATTAGCCCACTGATGGACTACCGGCTCTTGTTTTCAACTAAGCCAACTTGCAATATCCATCTGAACTCATTATTTTTCTCTATAGGATAGGGAAGCCTTGTGATGAGATGCTTGATTCTGTGAAATGTTATTTGGGCTACGAGCAAAAGTTTTCCAAGCCTACCTACTCACTTATATTAGAGATTATTTCCATTTGAATTGGTCGGATCCTTGTTGTGCTATTTCTTAATAATGCTATTGGTATAAGCCTAATAAATCTTTCTAATGCCTCCCTTTATTGTTTGGAAAATTCTTCTGCAATGTTGAGAGCTAGGTCGGGAAGTGAGTAAGCCGCTTCCTTTGATGCAGCAGTTATTCTGCCTTCTTTGCGCTAAATCTGCAAAGTTATCTTCCATATGCAAACCAACAATCAAATGTTGCCATTGTGTTTTGAAGCTGATCACCAGAAGGAAACTTGGACCAAAAATCAAAGATGCGGTGTGTACATTGTTGGTAGGTAGGAGGTTGCCTTGCTAAAAGTAGCTCTGGTTGCACCATTGCTGAAGTGAACCTTCCTAAAAATTCCTGATTCGTAACCCAGGTATTCGTACAAGCAGGTGAGGCTCATCTTGCCAACAGTTGCTTGTATTTATTATTTATAGGAGTACCTTATGCCCTACGGTTGTGCAATTAATGAATATTCCCGTGACCTCTTCCCAGTGTCACCTGCCTCCTACCAGCCTTATTCTAGGTCAACAGCCGTAAGTCCCAAGAACACAATGTTTCCATTGGGGTTTCAAAAGCCTCTTTTCTGCCTCAAGCATCTTTGTGGCTTACCTAATACGTGTATCCTGGCTCCCCATCTTCCTCAATCTCAAGAAGCTGGTGAGATGAAAGGCTTCTTTTTAAAAATGCAAACAGCTGTCAAAAAAGCAAGCATGGGTAGAGGTAAAAAATTAATTGATTGGCAAATTAGTGACGGGTAAGGCAGAAAGACTGGCAGGAAAGGGCAATGTAAATACCCAACTGGTAACATATGGCTGTTCTACATGTATCTAGCTGCAGAATTCCATGGCTCTTAGGCCAACGATGCTTATTTTTCCCCCATCTCCTCTCTCCCTTGGACCTTCCACACAGAGTGTCTGGAGGTTTGAGAAGATTAACACCAGCTAATGGGTGGGTGGAGACAATAAGCTGAGGCACACGGAAACAGCGTGGGCACGTTAGTAGGCAAAGGAGGATGGGTGGGAGGTAACTCATTTTGAATTTAATTTTGTTGGAAAACCACATTAAAATGTTTATCTCCTATCAAGGGTAGCAAACTGAGAAGAATGGTATCAGTCCAAGAATACTTAGCATTAGAATGAAGGCACTATTTTTGGCTGTAAAGTCTCCTACGCTACCAGAGACATTCTAAGCACAAGAGTCCATCCTTTTCTCAGGGTCTTTAGAATTCAATATCTTTGTCAGAGTGTGCTGTGAAGAGATAAGTTGCAAAATAATAGTGGCTTTGGCTAGAAAGATGTTGGATTTCTTTAATGGCGAGCTTTGATGCTCAAGTTGGGGATTTTCATTCAGAAGCCACTTTTTCTCTGGCTAGACACATGTCAGAGCCAAGGATCACAGCAAAAGAAGAACGTGACTTATCCTTAATACACACACATATCAATTAAGAGGCTAGCATGGTACCATTTGAATATATTTTGAGTTTCGCCCTTCCATTTCAACTACAGGCTGCCTGACCAGCTGACATCTGATCTAACATTTTATATTTTTGTCTAGAATATTTATTGCTGTAATTGGGTGAAAACTGATTACAAGTACTGTAGTTGAGTCAAATAGCTTCATAGGTCTGAACAGGACTAAGGGTATATTAATTCAGGCTGAAGGAAAATCCCTAAAACTATCCAAGATTATGATTCCTTTTACATCAAGAATTGGAACTGGTGGCACTTCTGATATTACTGGATCTTCAGTTCCCCAATATTTTCGTCATTGGATGACAGGGTGATTGATAAAAGTTGTAGATCAGCCATGTTCAAAAGCTCACCATTTAGTATGGGTAGTCCTCGACTTACAACCATTTATTTAGTGACCAAAGTTACAATGGCACTGAAAAAAAGTGTCTTATGACCAGTTTTCCATATCACAGGCTTCCCCATGGTCACATGATTAAAACTTTAGCAGATGGCATGTATTCATGAACATCGCAGTGTCCTGAGGTCATTTGATCATATTTTGTGACAAGCAAAGTCCATGGGGAAGCCCGGTTCACTTAACAACCGTGTTACTAACTCAACAACCACAGCGATTCATTTAACCACTGTGGCAAGAAAGGTCTTAACATGGGGCAAAACTCACTTAGCAACTGTCTTGCTTAGCAGCAGAAATTTTGGGCTCTGTTTGTGGTCATAAGTCAAGAACTACCTATAATCTCGTCATACAACATAGGTGGACCTAAATATGTTTCCCGCCATCTACAATAGCTGTATGATTAGACTTCACCCCCCAAAAGGGAAAAATAAGCACTTTTATTATTTTTTTCCCCTTCTCTTCCCTGGATGCATCAGAGAGCAGCAATGAAAATAGCAGGCTGCAGTATCACTGTGCATGGCTGCTTTGACTTCATCTGTGCTGCCTCTCTCTGAAGAGAAGACGACGTGCAAAAGAGATGGAGGGGCCTTCCTCCATCAGGAACTGAAAGGCTATCAAGCTGCATTCCCCACGGCGTGTTTTTTGCAGCCTGCATAGCATTTTGCACCGCCCCTTTTAGCACTCCCTGCACTGCATGTCTTTACGTTGGAGACTATTTTTAATCTCGCAGATCGGCTACACAAGATCACCCTCTCTGGTGAACAAATGTAATTTTTTTTTTTTTTGGTCAATGTCTTTTGTCCTAGTTTTGAGACCAAGTGCACTTTGACTATGCCTTGGGGGGGAGGCTGTTGGGACAAGGCAGATGCATACCTTCCATTGCTATCTTTGTGGCAAATGCATTATGATTCCATAGCTGATACCCTCCCCCACTTGTTTTTGTTTTTTTCTACAGGGACTGGATGACTATGGGGCAAGACCCTCAAGCAGGTAAGTTATTTCATTTTCAAATCCATTGTGGATCTACAAAGTTCATTTCAATATGAGAAGCTAAGGTTTGGACAAAATTATAAAAGTGACGTCAAATGCAATTTCTGGTGTTTTCACTGACATCCCTATATAGCATCTTGAAAATTATACAGAAGTTGATTTTTTTTTAAAAAAAAAATCTCCTTAGTCTATCCTGCAACGCTTTAATTTTTCCCATTAAAGTCCAACCTCCCAGGTCTAATCTTGGCTTCGCTTTCTTAGATTGGCCACACAGCCCGGCAGAAGCTTGAAATGAAAGAAATTCCCACAGAACCACATGTTATTAAAGTATGCAGGAACTGTTTTATCCCTGTTTTTTTTTTTTAGCAAGGCATGGCACAATTGCTTGCTTTGGTCTGGCCCTTCACAAAAGGGATATATATTACACTGAGGACCTTCACCTTTATTATTATTTTTTCCTTGAATTGAAATGCTTCTCATACATATAAAGCCCACATTATTTACCCTTTCAAGGTAGCCAGTAAAATGCAGAAAATGTTTATGCACCTTGCTCAGACTCATTTGAGTGAGCTGTATAAAAATGCTGCAAAAATGCTGCAAATAAATAACACAGAATATCTCATTATACTTTTCTATCTTTGTGGCTATGACTTCTGCTATATCTATTCCCCACTTCATACATTCACCTCTTTTTTGAAGATCCTTGTCAAATGCACTCAACCACAACTTCCTTGGTGTTCTTCCTCTTAACTACTCACTCTTCCTTTGTTTTATATATTTTGTTCATTATTTCAAAGTTCACATTTATGTTCATACATTCTTGATCCTATCTCTTTTTGTTTTTCTAAAATAACTACATCCATTTCATTCAACTGACTTTTATGTTTTTCCTGACATTCCCAACTCTTTCTTCCATATAACTAAATAGGGGAAAGAACATCATATAAACAAGCTATTATTGTTTCATTTGACATTCATTTGTCAAGACAGATTAAGTATTACCCATTAATTTTCTTATGTTTGCACAACTGAAAATTTCCTCATCCATTTCCTCATCTTTAATAAACATTCTGCCAAGAGGCACAAATTCATCTACTTTTCCTGGTGTGTGTGTGTGTGTGTTGTTATTTATGAATACATTGAATTCATTCACTCCATCTTCCATGACAAACAAAATTACATTGATCTTTGATAAATTAATTCTTGAGGGGTCCTTGCTGTTCTCTGAACTTGGTTGTTCCCTTCCAGATGTTTCAATACCTGAACTGGGGAACATCATCAGTGCTAGTGATGATGTTACCCAGACTACCACTAATGATGATATTACCTAGTTTGGGTAATGAAACTACTTCCAGAAAACAACCAAGCTCAGAGAGCACCAAAAGACCCTGCATTTCAATCACGAGCTACACATATTTTTCTTTATTGATACTTGTATGTAGGCATCATATAACATGTTTCAATTCACTAGCATGGTCTGGAAACCTACTATGTGCCCACATCATCTAATGTCACCATAAGCATCTATCTTTCTCACTGTCATGAACTGGGCAAAACGGTGCAGTCATAGAGCAACAGTTATTGAGCCCAGGCACCTCAAATGGGCTCCGGTATAAGAATGCCAGGACTAGTTACTCCCTTGGGAATAAAATTTGGGAAAGGTGTAGTCATTTCAGTGTAGTTGTGCTGCTGAAGCTTTAGCACCACTCCACTGCCACACTCAGCTGCAGTCACATGATCCTCATTTCCAACACTCCCTGACAGCTTCTGACAAGTCAGTGGAAAGGCCAGTAGGAAAGGTTGCAAGTTGCTCAGTTTTAAGTCTCCCCCACATATATAACCTTCCCAGCCCCTCTGTGTTTGTGCCACTGTGACAAACTGCACATCCTCACGCTCCCTTTTGGACTTGTGCTGCATCTAATCCACATGACACCTCTTGCTCACCTCCGTGCTCCCTTCCCAGTATGCGCCACACCCCTGCATACCCAACCCATGCACCTCCTGCACAATCCCACATTCCCTCCCTAATCCACACCACTCCTCCTCCACACTCCTGTATTCCCTCTCCTACCAGGGCAGCAGCCACTTACCTGCCTGCTGACCCTGGACTTGCACGTCCCTGCCAGTTTGCCCACTGACTTTCTCCTTGGAAGCTTCCCATAAGCAAAGCAAATGAGGAACCTGGCAGGAATTCTAGGAAGAAACAAGGGAGGGAAGGAGGAGGAAGGGAAGGAAGGAAGATAAAAGAAATTGTTTTTTTTTGCCCACCCACAGTTATTCTGTTTAGGTAAGGAAATATCTCTGAAACGATGACCCAATGGATGATAGATTGTCTAGTTCCTTATATATTTATTCATAAATACATTAAACAACACAGTATACATCCATGTCTTACTCCCTACTAAATGTCAAACTATTCATTAATTACTTTATTTACACTGCTGGAGGCTCCTTTTCACCCACTTCCAAAACACTTTTGATTCCCATCAAAATTGCTTTGTCTTTTCTCTGTTAATTTTTTCCCTTGCTCTCTTCTTTGTAATCATCCTTTTTTCTCTGTACATTGTACGATACCAGTTTCTCTACGCTTTTTGCAGCGGTCATTCTTGTTTGCATTTTTTTCTCATGTCCAGACTTCTTGCACGTCATCATTCTATAAAGTATCCTTTTTCATTCTTCCTGTTAAGTCAGACTAGAAAGGAAGATGAGCTTTATTGAATGCTACTGTTTGAGTTTCCCTCACTGTGTGCAGTGATAGGAAAATATGACTATTCATTACGTTGCATTGTAACTCATGCAGGGCCATAGGCCTGCTCAAAAAACACGGTTGGCGGATTGAATTAACTGAACATGCACCACACAACGTGTCTCAATTTTCTGTAGTGCATTCGTGAGTCCTTTGTTCAGTGGGACACAACTTCAGTTTTAAATGCAATATTCCCAGTTAAACTGACTTTTTTTTTGAAGCAGGAAGTAGATTCCATATTTTGCTCCTCTTGCATCTTTAGTTGCATATTTGTTAAACTACCTTTCCCCCCCCCCCGTGGCCTTCAAACTGAGACACACTGATGGAAATGCCCCATACGAAACCAGGAATGAATGCAAAATCCACACCCAAGCAATTAGAAACAATAAAGATGTCACAGAGCAGCAACCTAATCTCTTCCTTTTGTTTTCTGAGTATGGCAACCTCTTCTAATCTAGTGGGTTCTTCTACTAGATGGAGCCCAAGAGAAGCTGCTCTTTCTGAGCAGTAATGAAGCTGTGAATAGTCTAACTCATTGCGTCCTGCCCACCCTCTCTGCCCTTGCTCCCTAATTCCAATATCAATGCATTGCCACTTACTTGGTGCTCTTCCATCTATTCTTGGTTATTATTTCTCTGTCTCTGTCTCTGTCTCTCTTTCTGGTGAAGTGAGTTTGGGCCGAATTGTATACTTTTTCTTTCTGTTCCACAGCGGCAGTGGCACGTTGGTATCTACAGTGTGAGAGAAGGAATCTTGACTAGAAATGACAGCTGCTGCTTGGAAGACTTCCTTGTTTTGCTTCTCTGTCCCCTTCATTTCCTTCTTTCTACTGAGATGCACATTTTTCCTCCTACCTGTCCTCTTTTCAAAGCAACTGTGCCAGCTCCTCCTCTCATCCCTGGGACCCCAAGGACCATTCTTTGAGGAACTCTTGGAGCTGCTACTTTCCCATCCCCTGGTATTTCCAACCACCCATTTCGAAGCAGGAAAATGTCCAGATAAGGAACGTTAGTTTTCACAGATGCTACTGGGTGCAATTGAGATAAACTAAACTAGATAAAGATGCTGCATCTCTCTCTCTCTCTCTCTCTCTCTCCCTCCCTCCCTCCCTCTCCTCTCTCTCTCTTTTATAAATTATTTTACTTTTCTTATTGCATTCTCTCTTTTCAGAGATGTTAATGCAAGCTGCACATTTATAACAAAATAAGTGCAAGATTCCTACCCTCTTTTTTTTTTTAAACAACAATCTGGAAACAAAATATGCATGGCATATGGTGTACGTACTGTTACTTCAACTATCCTTTTTTGCAACTTTATCACAAAATCAGTTCTCTGTGTCAAAAGAAAAGGGGCGTTGGGATGCTCGGGTATTACTGTGTTGGTTTTGGCAAGAATTGGACTGTTAAACTGAGCACCAACCCAGTCTCCATTTTGTAAAGTATTTTGTTTTATATATATGACAGACACAAGCATATTATATTATTATTCTATTCTATTATGATCTATATTTTGTAGGAAGGTATTGTTACCTCACAGTTATGCTGAAAAGAGCAGTGGAGTAAAAGGGAGTGGAAGGGCTTCTTCTGTTGTATTATGCAGATTGCCAGATCAATCCAAAGACTTTCTCTTTATAAAACTGGAAGGGTTTTTTTTGTCTTCTTGGTAGAGAAGGAGGGCTAAACTGCCTGCGTTTTGAAGTTCCAGTTCTGAACAAGGAGGTTTCTTTTTCTTTTGCTGAAATTTCAACCACTTTTCTTTCTTTTAAAAAAAGCCTTCAGTCTTAACTAATTTCAGGAGCAAACAAAGTAGGAAACTAATGGCTACTGATTGGGACTGCTTCTTCTGTTATCAAATTCCAGGAGGTCGGACCTATGCCGAAGACTGAAGGCTTTCAGCTTGGAGTTACAACAGGGTTTCCCAACCTTGGAAACTTTAAAATGTGTGAACTTCAACTCCCAGAATTCTCCAGCCAGCAGCAGCTAGGGAATTCTGGGAGTTGAAGTCCACAGGACTTAAAGTGACCAAAGTTGGGAAACCATGGGTTACAGTTTACAGTGTGAAACTATATTCCTATTATGATCCAAGGGTGACTGCAGGATACGGTCCAAAAAAGTCAAGATGGTGACCCACAGTGGTGCAATCAAGACTCCACCTGTGTTTTATATAACGCACATTTAAAAAGAGGTCAGACTTTGACTATATTGTCTTAACTACCATATTGACTTTTTTTTAACCACACTTGCCAATACCCTTG